ACATCGATCTCTTCTCTTTCGGACTCGTACATCGCCCAAATTGTGTTCAGTCTAGCCAAAGTGGCTTGGTTGGGAATGATTTGACGCTGGATTCATAACATGTGTGACTTGTAGAACCGTAGTTGTCTGAGTCGCTTCTCAAAGACAAATCCCAGCTGTCGTCCACGATTGGGAACTTCTCTGGGCTGAACTGCTGCGGCAGCTTCATCAGCGGCTGCAGCCGCAATGGCTGGATTTGGGATGGTACCGCCAGGTTTCCTCACATTCTCGCAGATGCTCTTGATATCAGCATCGGTAAAGGTATCGAGTGAGACGAAGGCATCCAATCCTTAATCATTCAATGCTGTCCTCGTGGCTAGTTCGGCAATACCGATGGTATTCTGTAGATAGTTGTTCATGGCTGCAAGATTGCCTGCCATATTCGCCTCCAATTACTTCTTCTCTTGCGGTGTCACTTGGATGAGCAACAGTTGTTGGGTCTTCTTCTCTGCTCCTATTCCAACAGCAAACTGTACACACCCAGACAAGTAAGGCTGTATTCCAGTGAATGAGCTCTGCACACCCAGTCTGTGGCAGTCTAGGCCAAAACTCTTGGGTCAGGCGTCCCCTCTCCTTGGCTCAACCGGTTTCTTTGGTGACAATGAGGCAGGAATTGATCCAGACTGGAGGGATCAATATTCCAAGTCCAAACCTCTGCTTCCCACTTGGAAGTCTCTATCTCTCGCTCCACTTGAGAGAGCCCCTTCTTCTTGAGAGGTCTTCTGTTGCTATGCCGCTTGGAGGTCTTCTCTTCTTCTTCTCTTCGTCGTTCGAACTGTAGCTCCGAAACGGTAGCTTCGAATCGGCGACAATGGCGCTGCTTTGAATGAACGAACGGTATCTTCACGTCGAATTAACAAACTCCTTCGAATGAACGAACGGTATCTTCACGTCGAATTAACAAACTCCTTCTTCTTCTCTATCTTCTCGATCACGACAATGGCGCTCGAACGATGGCTTCGAGTTGCTTCGAGCGGTAGCGTCGCGTCGAACGGTAGTTGCTTCGAACGGTAGTTGCTTCGAACGGCTTCGAAACGTCGACAATGGCGTCGAACGAACGAACGAACGAACGAACGGTAGCTCTTCTTCTTGTCGCTCGCAACGACCGATCGCTTGTTCTTCTATCTATCGTGTAGTAGCTTCCACGCCTGATAAGCCGAAAAAGGCTGATGATAGAGGAAGGAGGTGTTGATAGAGAGGTTGCTATAGTGTTGTGTGTTACTACTTGGTTGTTGTGGTTGATTTCTAGTAATCTGGTAACTGGATAGTCATAAATCGCTACCACAGGTCATTTTCGCACTGTCATCGATGAATTCGGAAAATGAGTGGGCAGTGGGCAAAGATTGAATATTCCAGACACAGACATTCCAGACAGACGACATGAGCTCGACATGACAGCTCATGACGATATTATGATAAGCGACCACATACATGACACAATGTCATGTACAAGCGAGGACGCATCGACGCATCACATCGTTCCTTAATTAAATAAACGTCACTACTAAGGAGTACTAGTACGGGGATGGGCAAAATTTGCAATAGCCCTGTATTGTATTGGAGTGTGACTCGCCAAAATCAGTTAAAAAGACAAAATTCGTATTTTTACCGGAAGATAAATTTAATTGGATTGGATTGCATTGCATTGCATTGAATTGGATTGAATTGGATTCCAAATACTACTGCTATTTATATAGTAAACTGTAATTCAATGCAATCCAATCTAATCCAATGCAATCCAATCAAATCCAATAGAGAAAAACAGCCAAAGTAAAAGATTGGCTTAGGGCACACAATTTTTACAAAAAGGCTCTAACAAATTCAACACAGAGCCATGGGCAAGTAAGCGCGGTCAGCTCGAAATCCTCCGAGTAGCGTCTGTCATCGTCCGGAGATCCTAAAAAAGCCAAGTCGAGAAAATCGCGAAAAACAAAAAGTGAGACACCACAATGAAGCTCACAAGCGTTCCAGTCAGCATTGGCAACCAAAACAGCACCAAAACAGAGCACTCACCATAGCACAAACTCAATAACAGATAAGGGTTAATAGGTTGTTAACATTTCTAATTGGTGACTGTACGCTCCTTCCTGGTTTCGCGTGCTTTTTTGGTGTTAGCCTTGATCTTGTTGCGTCGTTCGGCTCCAGGGTCCTCCGAGTAGTAGCGAAGATGCGCCTTCTTTTCCTCTGGAATGAGCGGACCCCACTTATCGTAGAGCTCCTTCCACTTGATGTCTTGGATACCGACAGCTTCAAGAGGTGTTAGCTCTGATCGAATCGCTGTTTTCCAGAAGGCCGAATCCTTTCCACGAAACTCTGGTCTGACAATCTTCTGTAGATACTTCTTAGCATCATGGCAACTCTGCTTAATGCAAGTGTCACCGTTGTCTTTGTCAATGTCAAAGGTGAAGACATGCTGTGACTTGATTTTGGTAGGGCGATACATGTACTTGTCCTGGAAAGTATCCCAGTCACTGAAGACGTTGAAGCTTTCTTCACTGTTGTCGCATGGGCACCACACAGGCTCAACCTTTTCGTGTTTCATGGACTCCAACAGATCGCGTGGAAGATAGATATTGTCTTTCCTGAGAACAACAAAGAAGAGACAATGACAGGAGAAGAAAGGAAGAACGGTGTCAGCAACGCATTTATTTCAGGTTTTCGTGGGAAGAAGCAATCGACTTGTACCTGTATCCTTTCTTCATGACATTGAAGAGCCTGTCGCAGTCATTCTTTGTGTGGCCACGAACAAGAAAGGCAGCTCTCGCTATCTTGGTAAAGCCCAACTTCACCATGAAGAAGAGCAACCGCATCACCATTCGGTTCTTGTTCTGTCCAGAACAGTTGTCAAACACAAAGGTGATCTCCTTGTAGGGATCTTCGAATCCAACGTTTTCCAAGCGCCAGACTCTCTGCAACCAAAGATGGTGGACAATAAGAGATGCCACATTGTTTCCTCCCTTTCTTGCAATATCCTCAGTGTAAGTGTATGCATGGAGCTTGTCAATGGAGCAATCAACCACACCAAAACAGTAAGCCGACAGAGGAGAGTAGTAGTAAGTCTCTCCTGGTTGCTCAAACGCAAAGGAAGGGATTGACATGTTCTGTGAGTAGTCGGCAACATAGCACAGCGAACGCTTGTCACGGTGCTGATAGAAGAGATCTCGCGAGTCAATAGCTTCTTTCTTCTTCATCTGATAGTACTCTCGCTGTTTCCTGGCATCGTTCACATGCTGCGCCACTTCAAGTAAAGCTTCTTCTTGTTCCTCCATGATCTTTTCCCTTTCTTCCTTTCGCTTCTGCTGTGCAGGAGATAGTTCTTCCTCCTCCACAGCCGTACTGTCCTCCGATTGTTGTTCTTCTTCCTCCTTCCTTTTCTGAATACTGACACAATACTTGTGTCGGTTGGCAAAGACATAACAGTCGCTGCAGATATCTTCTCTGGCCTTGGACACAACCAACTTGCAATAGTTCTTCTGCCAAAAGGACAAGAACTTGGGCCAGGAACAAACGTCCTCTTGTTCCACGCTGTCACCAATCACCATGGGTTCCTTGGTTGTTGTTCCTCGAACGGTGACCTTCGCTCTCCACCCGTGTTCACGAAGATAGCGGCCATACAACGACCGCTTGGAATCTGCGGCAGGAAGCTCCATCACTTCATCGTCCACGTTCTTCAAGGAGTTCTCCACCGTTCCATTTACCAGTTCACGGACAAAAAGGGTAGCTCTTGGTTGGGCCAACATGGACAACTCAGCGAAATAAGAGCACAAGTCCGCTTCAACTTTCTTGTTAACTCTAATTTGGTTTCCAGCATGGCCATGCATGATATCTCGCTTTCCATTGAAAACTTGAACACACCCATACCAACGATCATGACCGAAACCAATCACCTTGCACAACGTGTCTCGGCAGCAGGAGGTGTTGGCTGTTCCCGGAAGAATGTAGCACCGGATCTCTTGCTTTCGAGTGAGATAACCACCAGCGATCTCCTGCCTTTGGCGAACGTACTTGATCCATTCCAGAACCCATTCGGTCTGCTTCGTTTTCGTCATGCAGGCAAACTTGAACAGGAAATCAATCATGGTCTTGTGCCTGGATGCATCACTCTGTTCAGTTGGAATGTCTTGCAAGCAGCTGCAGGGTGTGTGCACAATGTTGTTCTTGATTGAGACGCAGTTGTCGAGAGTTGCAAAGTCGTTCAGCCATTTTCCAATCTCAGCTTTCAGCTCTTCCACGTTGGGAGCTTCGCCTCTGTTGGTGGGAGCAAGAATCCGGTTTCGTAGTAGCGGAGCATGAATCTTCCTCACAGGGCACGGATAAACCTTGCGGCAGGTGTCAACAACACCTGCAGGTGGTTGGCGCTCCGTCATGGTGTTCAAATAGAGTAACAAAGCGGCGTTTTGCCTTGGATAGCATCATTGTTTCGAAAGAAAAGAAGAAAGAAAGAATGGGAAAATCGTCACGATTGGTGGTGGGAGTCAGCCAATCGGCACGATTACAACAATCGCGCACGACAAGTCTAATGTGTCGGTTGGCTGCGATATAGTAACTAGCTGCCGGATGGGTATGTCCAATACATCGCTGGATAGGATATTCTATAATTAAGACGATCCTGCCGTAAAACCAGCACCGGCCGGTCTCACATTTTGACCGTTGACGGACGGACGTTGGGAGGATTTCGAGCTGACCGCGCTTAAGTTTGCTCATCCCCTACCCGTTTCCTCAAGCGGGAGGTTCACTTGAGTACTCCACAGAAGGGGGGCACTTGGAACTTGGAGATAAAAGCTTTCTCACAATCCACGAGCTGGACCCGGCCGGCACAGCCCTCTTGAGACGCCCATGCGCATGGCCGTTTCTTTTACATCATGTACCAGTACCGGTACCGGTACCGTACAGACGATGAAAGCCAGCAAAGCAATGTAGACGAAGATGCGACCTGGTCAGCACGAAGGACGAAGTTGGATCTTGCGAAAGAAGTCTGAACTATCGAATGGGCTGGGAAACAAAACAATTCTTGAACACAACAACGTTCCCAATGGAACAATAGATCGATCTTGCCAAAGAAGTCTGAAAGCGAAGACGAAACCAAAATGCCGCCACAAAAACATTTCTTGAGCACAACAATCGTTCCCCAAACTTTGAAACTTTTCCAGCACACCACAGAGCAAACAAACGATGGGTTTATCTCAAGCTCCTCAAAGGCACAGAATTCCTGTTTTCATATTACTCTTCGCATTGCTACTGTTTGGTCTTTTGTGCCATCAAGTCATCCCCCCAGCTCCCATTGTGCGCAGTGCTTCTTTGCAAACAGTAGCCGACCAAACAGTGACCCCAGCGATTCTTCACCAAGTGCTACCCCCAGACGCCACCAAATACGAGGCTTGGATCAGCACTTGGCAATCAGCTAACCTGACCAGACGGACATATGGCGACGATGATTTGGAATCCATCATTAAGGCATTGGGATCACAACGCATCCTGAAAAGATGGTCCCAGATGAGCCGCACCATTGAAAAGGTAGACTTTGTGCGGTATGCATTACTCTATCTTTACGGTGGTGTCTATGCCGATGCCGACCAAGAACTAGTGGATGCCGATGCATTACGCCGCGTCATTGACTGGAACACGGTGGTCTTGCCTGTAGAACAGGGTGGTCCCTTTGGAGCTCACCAAGTTGGCCAAGCCCTGATGGTGTCACCGCCGGGTCAACGGTTCTGGTGGGATCTCATGGAGTACATGATAGACCAGTACAATGCATCCTGCAACGTGCTCATTAACACAGGACCACTGGGTGTCACTGCTTTTTGGAACCAAGGAGGGGGCAAAAATCATCCCAAGGTTCGACTGTCACGGCTTTTAGATGGTCGTTTCGACCCAACAATATTCAATCAATCTGCCACATGGCACCACATGGGAGGTTCCTGGATTGATCAGGAGACTCACAAGGCACAACTGCTGGCATGCAAAGACAAGGTTACCTGGCACGTTGAAGGAGGCAATGAGCGGCTTTATTTGTAGTTTCCTGACTCCTGGTGGTTGTCCTGCCACATAAAACGAATCACTACAATATATCTTAGCAGCAACAGTCCACCGAAAGGTCGCTTCCAAGAGAGACACCAATTTGCCGTGAAGCTAGATTCGATCATCATTCTCTACCATTAGCTGCCATTTTATCGCGTTCTGCTAGCTTTTTCTTCCACTCGTTTGACCCAATTCTTCACGGGCAAACAGCTTGCCCACCCCTTTAGTTAGACTAGTGGCCGACTTCTGCTTTGCGTGTGCCCTCCTATTACCAGCTGTTCAAAGCCCTCGCTTTTCGGCTTCGGCACGTCGCCGTTCTTTCTCCTCCAGAAATGCTTCTTTGCGAGCTCTGGCGACATCAATTCGCAGCTTATCCGTGAGACCCATTCCATTGTATTGTCCTTCTACTTTGCCGCTGGGGTTGGATTTTCTCTTTCTGTAGACGCATAAAACATGTTGTTGGAATGGAGTGAGAATAACAAACACTTTCCACAACCGAAAATAGTGTGTAAGCAGACTTTTACCCATAGAATGCTTCTCCGTTTCCCATTCTCTTGTTGAAGAAATCGTCTACTTGATCGTCTACGCTGGACATGAAATCCTTGAAGAAACCCCCAAAAGGATTTCCCTTGCCACCATCATTGTCTTGATTGCTTCCACTCAAACCGAAACTCTGCGTGCTAGAAGCGACAGAAGTAGGAGAGACTACGAAAGCCTCTATTCCACCAGCCAAGAGCAGAGCAACCAACAAAACCAGGAAGCGGATCATCGTACCGTAATCTTTGAGCCAGCAATTCGAATTGTGTTCTTGTGCAGCTGCTGTTATGCCAGATGCGGGCTGACTCAGCCTTGGGACGGACACCATGCCAGCATTTATCTTGGAGGTGGCAGCATCTTTTTGTGTGACGGATTTTGAGTCGCCCTGCGATTATATTTAAGGATAAGGACACTTTTCAAATCGATTGGACACCGATTGCGAGAACAGTTAGTTTTGCCTCGAGGATCCTGGAATTCATCGCCATCGATCATTCAGCCAAAATGCAGCCACAGCTTGACAGAGAGACCATGGACGACTCGAACGCTTTGACGAAAGAAAGGAGCTGTCTGACAGCCATGATGTGTGTCAATGGAGAGATCCATGTTGTGAGAGGCGCAAGCCTGGTTGGCCGTGCCTCGAGAGTTGTGATCTGGTTTGAAGAAGAAGTGGATTTGTCATTGGATGGCGAGGAGGAGGAAGACGGAGCAGGACAAGCTTTGGTGTCCTTCCTGGAGGACTGGCAGCCGATGAAAGATCTGCACTTGATTGGGGACAGCACTGGCGAGGATGATTGTGAAGCACCCGTCCACACCCTTACAGAGATTCTTCGGTGTACGTCGGCTAACAATCTTTCTCGTTTATCGTTTGGCGCCAACATGGCACTGTGTGGAACCATTGAACACTACAAAGCCCTTTCTGCAACCATTCAAAAGCACCAGCCCAATCTACAGGTTTTGGATTTTCCACGACTTGGAATTGAGGGCCCCACTGTGTTCAGCGAAGACGCGCGAGGCTTTCTGGATCCGTTGCTGCCGCTGCTGGTGGGTGGTGAGAGCACCTGCAACATTGGCTATTCGCCTCGTTTCCTCACAAGCAGAGGAGTGGAAGCAATGTTCTCCTTGTCTCACTTGCAAGCGGTCCGTCTATGCAATCATGAGTGGCCCGAAGATCTTGTGGCGACCGCCATGCAATGTCTTGTGGAGAACAAGACCTTGACCATGTTTCGAGTGTTGTGTGCCACCATCCGCAATCCCGAAACAACCAGAGCCATTTGTCAAGTGTTGGAACACAACGACACGCTCCAACAATTGGATTTGAGATTTGAAGATCTGGACCATGCACTGGTGCATGAAATCCTTGTTTCACTGGCAAGTTCCAAGCTTCGAAGCTTTGCATTGAAAGGGATGGAAGGCATGCCCTTCAGTCATTGTCTCTTTGCAGCAGCGCAGGAAACACTCCAAAAGAACTTGTACCTACAGGTCTTCAACGTTTGGTGCTCTTGCTGTATCCCTTCGAGCGTGAGAGACACTTTGGACTTTTACCTCGAGTTGAACAAGACCGGGCAACGAGCCTTGCTACTTGAGAATCCCGACTACAATGAACATCAAACATGGGTCAATGCGTTGATTGAAGCCAAGGAAAACGTCTCTTCTGTATTCTACTTTCTCTCGGAGAACCCAGCTTTGCTGACGCAACTTGTCGAGCAACAGCCGCATGTCCAGCCCGTCACGGGCAAGCGAAAGCGGCTCTTTCGTCGAGCCAAGTATTCGGAAATGAAGCGATTCAAATGTGAATGGTGAACGGAAGAAAACGTTCTGGGGGGAGAGAACACTTGGGACGTTTGTCCACTGGTCTCGCGACTCCTTTGGCAGCAACTCAGATCGAAATTGGTCAGCGAGACATACTGGAGGCTCGTGACGACAAGGTTTTCAATTGGCTACGGTACGGCACGGCATGGCTAGCTAGTAGTAGCATTGTTTGCGAATGGTGCTGGATGGGATCGTAAATAGACGCGATACAATGGTAATCTAAAAACTTCTCGGTTTTGATTTGCGATAGCCTTGAAGGGTCTATGCTACCGGTCCTTTCTACTGGTAGCTAGCTGCTAGATCTACCGTACTCACCCGAGGCGAATTCTAGAGCCCAAGGTGTGCGTCTCTGCAAGTAGCAACTACTTGAAGCAGCCTTCAGCAGGCTTGATATTCGCGCAGCTAGCTTCATGCAGGGTCTATTGCCACCAGCCCTTTCTATCCACTTCTCAGACGAATCTCAGAACCCACCAGGAGGCTGCATGTGCATCCTCGATCGTACGGAAGGTTTCGGAGCGACTTTCAGCTGGCTCGATGTTCTCAGCCCTCGAAAAAACAGTCCCGCAAAACAACCCTTGCCCCCCTAACCCAGTGGTCGCGCTTCTCATCCCATCTTCATCGTGCAAAAGTGATGTGCGCAACACAGCAAACATGGCAACATGGCACGACAACGGGTAGCTTTGAGATAGACCAAGGGCACAAACCAATACTCCAACAATCAGCACCAAGGAAATACTGTTGCTTTTCTGGCATAGGATACATAGTGAGCTCCCGATTGGATCCAGAAATTGCTTTTGAAATCAAGAAATCTGGACTCGGGGTCCTTTTTCTTTGATACGAGTACAGTCAAGACATAGAGAGACCAGTCACATTGAAATCGACCATGGCGACACAAACACTCGCTCCTGGCGCCACTCTGCCTCCTGGCTTTACCATTCCTCCTGGCGCCACTCTGCCTCCCGACTTCACCATTCCTCCTGGATTGTCAATTCCTCCAGGATTAACGCTCGCTCCTGGAACAACAATCCCCCCAGGCCTTCTCAATGGAAACGCAACAACAGGCGGAGTTACGGATGGCCCAAACACCAACACGGCCACAGGAGCAGACAACAATGGATTTGGAGACATCAATTTGGGATCATTCAACGCTACACCATTCTTCCTGCCGGCCCCAATTCGGACGTATGAAAGGGTGAGTCCAAACCAAACCATAAGAAAAATTGCGAGAAATCGACCATCAAGGGGTATCCCGCGGGAAGAGAGCCCGAACAATGATATGTCCTTTGTCTAGCTAGCTAGCTAACATGCGGGTGCACCCTCCTTGTGTACAACAGGCAGGTGCCACCACGGGTATGGCCGGAATTCCAAGATTTGGCCACAATTCAGACTTTGCCAATGTTGCCTACCTTGCCTCCAGCACAAACAAAGCTGACGGGGAGGATTACATTGTTGGGTTAATGTTTGCTGGTTGCTTTCTCCTTGTGTTTTTCCTTGTATGGACCATTGTTCTCATCATTTTCAAAGTAGCCATGTCAGGGTTTTTGTCTGGAGAACCTTTCATGAACCCTCACATACATGATCCTGTGTCCAAGCAAGCCAAGGAGGACGCAAAGATACATGGACGAGAATACAAGGAAGACAATTCTTGGCTCAAGAGGCCCCGTCGGATAAGAATAAGTGAGTCCAGAAGTGTCATTGATTGTGTTGCTGACAAAGCTGAACCACGAAAGCTCATACTCATTCCATTATTTCGATATTGCTTTCCTGTCCAACTAGCATTCTTCTTTTGTGGATTGATTCAGATAATATTCGCCATCCTCCTTGTCAACCAAGGAATGGCCAATCTACAACAAACCACCGACACAATTCAAGTCTCCTCAGAGTCAATTCGACTCTTGGTAAAGGAAGCAGATGGTGTCGCCCTTAACCTCAAACAAGTAGGAGACACGGGCTTGATCTTGCGCGATCAGGTTGTCTTTGATTTGAATAAGGACAACTTTTGCCCCGGCAACCCTTTGTTTGTTCAAACTTCAATAGGACAGAGCCTTATTGGGGCTTCAGATGGAGCTGCCCAAATGTTGAACCAGCTGGGGGACTTCGTTACAAATAATGTCGCAACTTTAGAGGAATCCTTGGCTGCTACTGAGCAACAGCTGGACAGCCTTGACAGGTCAATGGCAGAAGCTGAGAGTTATGAGTGGCTTGGTAAGACCTGTGTTGGTAGAGTTGGTGGCTTTCTCAGCTTTCCTGTTCTCACTTCTTATCAATCGTCAATCCAATCCCAGCTGGTTTAATTGCATTTCCATACATGCTCTTGGCAAGTTTGATGATTCTTGGGGCTTTTGCGGCACAACTGGATGCGATGACCGAATGTTTCCTTTGTATGCTGAACTGGGTGATTCTGCCTCTCTACATCTTTGTGACAATATTCTCTTATATTGTTTTAGCCGTTGCTGCAATTGCTGCTTCCCTCAATGCAGATTTTTGCGGTGGTGAAACAAGCTCACCAGACCAAGTACTGGTGGATCTCTTGTTTCGGTCAGGATTCCAGGAAGATGGATTGTTATTTCAGACTGTTCGCTACTATGCATATCAGTGCACAGCTCGTGCTGAAGTTGACCCATTCATGTTTCTCCGCAGTTTTGATGGGGTTATCGTAAGTTTCACTTGTGTCTTTGTAATTAATTTCCTTGGTGTTTGTTTCAAGTTGGACTAATCTGCCTCTGATTCATCAAATAATTGTCATCATGCAGGTGCAAGGTCGTGAGCTTGTCCAAAATTTGACACAGAGCATGGACGATATTTCATTACAACAATTATCATTGGGATGCAATCGTGA